GAAGGAAGAAGCTTGTCCAATAGGTCTTCAACCGTGCCGGTGAGCAGGCCATCGACTGTAACCTGTTCAAGGAAAGGAAGAACAGGCTCCGAGACACTGTCCAAAGACTCAGGGAAGACAGACGAGTGGCGTCTGTTGTTGTGTATGGCCAACGTCCTCAGCATCGGGCAGATATGTAGGAGCTCCAACACCGAGCGGATGGAAACCACGTGACTGGATGTGATGGTGAGATCCTTCAGAACCGTGAAATGAGGGATGGGAGGCATGGTTGCGAACGCCGCAGGAGATGTTAGGAAGGGAAGCTCCACAGCGTGCTGCATTACGCCGGATGATCGGAGGTGAGGGAACACGTTGACGTCGAGCTGAATGGATTCAATCCGTCCACTGTAACGACTGAGTACGTCCTCCATTGTCGTGCATCTCTCCCGATTATCCAAAGTCTCTAGAACGAGCTCATGGACATCGGGGTCTTGTAGTAGGTACTCCATGTGCAACAAGGGACGATGGGCGTAGTTGGGAATGGGGATGAGACGCACCACATTCGTAGAAGTCGATAAAGCTTTCGCCATGGTAGGCGTGTGGCACGTCGTGTCCGAGTCGCCCATCACGCTAGACGTTTCATCGTACGTTGATACATCTCCGGGAGAAACGTGGGTAGGAGCGACTATAGCGGTGAGGTAGCTGAGCGTGTCGCCAGGAACATCGAGGTGCTCAAGCGACCGTTGTTGCTCGAAGGACGGGACGCCGTCAACTAGAGAGGCGCTGTGGATGGTATCAGGCATTGCCAACGTTTCCTGATGATATATAGAACTCAGCCGGCCATGCTTCCAACATTTAGACGATAACGCCTTACCAAAATGATGGGTGGCGCAGGACACAGAAGGAGGTGAGGTGAGAGGGAGGTGAGGATATAAAGTGATAGGAACCATGAGGATGAGGCTCACGGTCAGTTTATATACCCAAATGTCCATGTCAATTGCAGCGATTGTGGCGCAAGTCGCCGAGGAATGTGTGGATGGCTGTGAAGCAGGACTCGACCAAGGAGGCAAGTGTTTGAGAAGCACGACTCCGGAATCAGTGCTCCTCCTTTCTGGAACAGACCCACCAGTCGACTCACCACAAATCATCGGTCTAGAGACTCATATTTCAGCATCCATGGGCGGTGCCAACACGTTTTAGTCTCGGAGCCTTGTCCAATGGTCCTGGAGACAGATGGGATGGGTAGAGGATGGTGCGGTGGGAATGGTAGTGGTGGGTCGACTCACACCTCTCTTCAGGAAAGTCCGACACCGTGCTAAATCCTGCGGCCTCAGAATCTACAACGGCCTCCCAGCACACGAGGCCAGGACGTGTACTAGCTCCGGCCCGCTAAGAACAAAGTCCCGGTTGCCATTTTGCGCCACGGATGCAGTACACGACAGCCGGGCAAGGAATCCGAGAATCGGCAAAACATACGCTGCATGAGCTGAAGGTACAAGTTAAAGGGATATATCAACAACATCGAATGACCCATATTAGCATAGCATATAATGGGAGGGACGCACTTGTTCCAATATATAGACTGCATGCTTGTATCGACGCGCATGTATTGTTCGCGCGAGGCACCGGCAGTGACACAGGGTGCTTTCATGGTGGACCCACCAACGTCTACAGACGTTGCGGTGGGAACGACCTTCAACGAGCAGTTCATGTCGGAGGATCAGTGAGGTCGGGTGAGAAGGTGATGTTCAAGTACAACGGCACATCACCCGCCCACGACACTATGCATCACAGGTTACCGCTGGAGTTGAGGTAGAGACGGTGCGCCCACCATTACTAGTACATGCTCGGCGTCGTGTCTTGTGTCCGGAAAATCGGGTAGTCGAGCGACTACACCGGCGTACTTCGGGCAGTAAGTGGACGCAATATAGTAGGGTCGCCGTGTCTTGCACAGAGCCATCGGATTTTCAGCCAATATAGGGCATCTAGAGCGGATTTCTCAGTGATCTTCCGAGGAGGCTGGGCGTTGTTGTCGCGAAACCCCGCCAGCCGAGGCTGCTGGACAGGTTCCTTGTAGTCTGCTCTAGCAACCCTTGTCATCGTGCATCGTGCAGATACGAGTGTTGTTGGTTTACCTTGCGATAATACTTCCCAACGCGCATAAGATTATATACGGTTCGAATTTACAGAGTCGAGTTCAATTCAACAACAGGTGGTAGGCGCCCACCGCCACAACCGTGTATGAGCGCGTTCGAACTCCGCCGACGCGCCTTGACCATGGCCACCACCGCGTCCACGCAGGCAGGCAGCAAACGATGGACCTACTTTCACTCCGCACTCCAGCACGCGATACAGCGGTCTGCACACAAGTGGACGTGAGCTCGGAATGAGTTGTGGGCGCATCAGAAACGCGACTAACGGCCGTCTGCCGCAGGTACGAGGACTTTGCGGAGTGTTTCTCACTCTGGTGCGATGAGCAGCCCGAGAATGCCGCCACGATCTTCAACCTCGTCTCGAGCCGCCTGGAGTCGTCTATCACGGTGAGCTGACACCTCTTGACGTGTCCCTCGCGCACTCACCGAGAGCGAACACGGCGCGCGCGTTGCAGGAGAATTGCGAGCAGTTGTTCAGGAAGTACAACGTGAAGGACAACCTGGACAACCTCCACGCGGTCGTCACGGCCGCTCGCGCGCGGAAGGAGGCAGGCTACGACGGAAAGGACGTGTGGAAGGACGATCTGCAGCCGCGCGCGGCCGTTCGGGCACGGACAATCCCTTTACTAGAAGAGGAGCGCAATCGCCTACGCGCGGAGCTGGCCCAGGTACTCTCTGAATTGTTCACACGCTGTTCATGCGCGATGCTTACTGTCGCATGTTTTAAGCTCAATCAGGAGAACTCTGGCCTGCAGTCTGAGATACAGCGGAACGTGCGGGCTAAAGAGGAGGCAGACAAGGACGCCGCGAGGTTACTTGACTTATTGGACAAGGTATGAAGGCAATTCGACGCCTGTCGTTGATTCTTGAGCTCACGTCCCCGTGTAATATTATCACTAGGCTCTGGCAAAATGGGACAGAATGCCACTGGACAAGGTCGAAGGCTGGACTCTAGTTGCGGCTGAAAATGGTGGAAGTAGGGCATGAATCACATCTAAGTATGTGACCACTCGTCTTGGATGTATATCAGTGAGACGTTTCCGAAGTCTATACAGTGTTCAGCGGGATAATAGATAGACTGTTGTGAAGCACATTATTCGATTGCAGTATCCGGCAGGTACTACGCGACAATTTATTCCATCGTATGCATATCCTCGTCCTCATCGTCCAGTGGAATGAACCTCTTTCCTTCGTTGCGCTGCAAATCCGTTCAGCTACTAGACACGAAAGCATGGATGATAACTTACCGTCAGATCGTCAGGTATAAGGGCACGCCTATCTTTCAATTTCATGGGTTTCCCCGCGCTGGACGGTGGGCCGCTTGGAGACCTCATGTCCATTCGATGCCCGCCGCCGAGTGAAGCCCACAGAGCACCAGAGCGACGGAAATCGAGAACAGGAGTCATAGGAATAGGAGGAAGTCGATCTGCTTGGTCCAGCTGCCGCAAGGTGCCGGAACGATTTTGAGGCGTGGTGCACACGTAGTGTGTAATAACAGGCAATTTCTGGCCGCCAGCAGGAACCAGCGGGGTCGCCGCGTGAGAAAGTGAAGGGCGAGGATGCGTGGAGAGAGCATGTCTTGGAGCTGGAGTGGCCACAGAGGAGGCCAAGCTATTGTGCGACGAACCTAGTGGCCGGGAGACCGAGGTCAAGCTTTGAGCGGCTATTACGACGGGTGTTGTCGGATTTGCAGCCCTAGTCGTTGGTGTCACGGTACGTTGGTCTGACGGTGGCAGGTCTACGAGAGGGCTTCGGAGCACAGTCTTTCGCGAAGGACGCGAAAGGACAGCAGTCGATGGCGTGTCTGCAGTAGGCATGACCGCGGGCACTACCGTCGGCACAGCAGGTCGAGCGGATAGTCGATCCATTGACTCTGGAGAAGTCGATGAGGTTGGACCGTTGTCGTCCACTCGGCGTCTCTTCGAGCCGAGAGAGGTGAGATGATCCATAGAATCGGACGCGCGAGATCGTTCTCGTTTGGACGTTTGTTGAGAGTTGCTTGACAAGATAGCATGGGCCAGAGACGAGACATCTTGAGATAGTTCAGATACGGAGTCCTTGACTTGGTTCCGAGCATTTTCGACATGGAGAGGCACTGATTGCACTAGAGGCAGCAAAGGCAAGACAGCCGCAAGGATTTGGCCCTGTTGGTCTTGTATGGTCTGCAAGACTTGGCAATGCGTCTGGTTGAGCTGCCAACGGCATAAGGTCGTACGGCGAGCGCATACAGTGGGGCGTGATGTAACATACCGAGTTCAGCATATCGAGTTTCTTGTCCAATGCTTCCATGCGGGAGCCGAGCGCGCTAAGGTTCATCGAGAGCTCATGGACTTTCGCGCTCTGAGCCGGACTCCCAAGTGCTTTCTGTAGCTCTGTCTGGCATCGATTCACTTTGCTGTATCAGACACGGTAAACAAAATCAGAGACTAGCCACGCACCTAAGGCTATCATTCTTTCCACTAGCTGCTCGTGCTCATCCTGGTACAGTGTCTGCACTCCGGACAGCTCCCGTTTGGCATCGTCTAGGCCAGTCACGAGCTGCGCAACGCGATCCGTGAAGTTCTCCAAACGAGCCTGAGTGTCGTGTAGAAGAATCCGCGTTGAAGCTCCAGCTTTGTCGATAGGCGCAATAGAAGGGATAGGCTTTGCTGAGGGTGGCCCCGTTGTCGCCTGAGAGGGAAGCTGGGAGCCGCTCTTCCTCAGCAAATGTCCCCATAGCGCAGATGTAGTAGAGTGCCGACTCAGAGGCATGTCCATCGCTGCTGTAGAGTTCATATTGGAGATCGGATGGAACAGTCCGAGTCGCCTTGAGTAGGATTGAACAAAGTAGCTTTGGATATGTGTGCTACTAGTAGCAACCAAAACAAGTCTCTGTTAGTATATCGGTTAGTACACGCGCCTGTCATACAATGTGTGCGCGCGAAAGCGGGGTTCGACTCCCCGACAGAGAGTAACAATTTTGTTCCCTGTCGCTGTAACGCGTCACTGTGGACCTCGAGTCTACTTCGAGTCTTCGACCACGCAATTCACGACTACTACCACCAATACCACCCGTCCACGCTCATGTTATATCTTCTTTGATTGGCCCTCAGGAGCACCGCACCTCACCATGGGATTCTCGCTATTCAGGCTGGCGCGTTTTCTGCAGTCAATCTTCGTGCCCACCGCCTCTGTGATCACCTTCTCCTGCCTATTGGTGTTCTTCTTCGTTCTCTACCAACCGACCCCAGGACCGGGAAGCATCCAAAAACTAGGATGGCAGTCATGGGATGTTGTTGAACTGTATACGGGGCAGAGCTCGGGCAAGACCTCTGAGGCTTTGGGAGAGACGAGCACTGGACATGGCGCGAGCAGTGTGCCGGAGGGTGTAGATTGGTGGAATGTGACGACAGATTCTGACACGGAAGATGTAGCAAGTCTCCCTCTGGACGTTTGGGATCCTCTAATGCAGCATGATACCGGGTGTAAGTGTTCCCCAATTCTCTACCAGGAGCACACGTTGACCAATCTCAGTATCCGAGATCCATATCACGGAGTGCTTGGTGGATCCAATCTTCGTACCTTCAGTGGCGGCGGATATATGCTATCCGAAGTCTACGAAGGAGGACGATGCTCACAAGGGAAAGTGGGTGCGCGTCGAACGCAACCTCAAGGAGCAGCTTAGTATGAAGAGCTTAGTATGTCTTACCCTCTACATCGTGTCAAGAGACTTCAGCTGATGCTCTTTAGAATGTGTACTACCGTCGGACGCGAAGGCACGATATCCCTCTTGTCACAGAGCTGCGCGTCCTCCCGGACAAGGAAACCCCTTCACCGTTCAGTTCATCGTGGGTCAAGGTTGCGTACCCCATCAGCCCAGCTGGGGAAAGGCGCTATTTGTGGTACAAGCTTGAGAAGACATGGCGGGAGATGACGGAGGCCGAGCGCAAGAAGGACCTTGTCACTGAAATCGACGTACTGTTTGGGTCGGACCAACCATTGTATGGGTTCGACAAGGTCGAGAACGCGCCATATGATGGAGCGGGCCGGGCAGAAGTTGTGTGGTTGACGTATAGGAAGGGTATTAAACGTGAGTAACAGTCCCATACAACTGTTTTGGCCCCTTCACAGATGTACCTGTCCAGCACCACCCCATGCGCCTCCCCTCCACTTCTCTCGTGATGGCAGGTTCAAGATCATGCAGGTTGCGGATCTTCACTACTCGGTGAATATGGGCTCGTGTAGAGACACTATTATCTCACCCTGCACGGCGTCCGACAACCTCACGAACACCCTCCTTGGACGAATGCTCGACATCGAGAAGCCCGATCTAGTCGTGTTCACCGGCGACCAGCTGAACGGACAGACGACCAGTTGGGATGAACGCTCGGTACTCGCCAAGTTCGCGAAGGCAGTGACAGAGCGAAGCATTCCATGGGCTGCGGTCTTTGGCAACCACGATGACGAAGATGGGATGACCAGGGAAGCGCAGGTGAAGTACATGCAAGGCCTGCCATTCAGCCTCGTCCAGCGCGGACCTAAGGACATTCATGGCGTAGGAAACTATGTGCTCAAGGTCAAGAGCGCGGATCCGTACGTGACATGTCGATTGAATTATATGATGCGCTGACAACGGCTTACAGGTCAAAGACTCACCTCCTCACCTTGTATTTCCTTGATTCAGGCGCGTACTACAAGGGGGTTCTGGATTGGATGGGTATATTCCATGCGACCGAGTACGATTACCTGCGTCAAGACCAGATAGATTGGTTCCTTGATGAGTCAAGTAGGGTGACTGCCTCATACCCGCCTGCGCTGTAAAGCTCACTGCTCATATCTAGGGACCATTGACGCCATTGAGCGACCCTTTACCCCAGACGGTGCTAAGGACTTAGGCAGCATCTGGGAACGTCAAGCTGCCGGTCAAGTACTTCCCGGTTCGAGGCGTCTCGCGAAGCCGAACGCCCTTATGTTCTTCCATATCCCATTGTGAGTACCTTTGACCCTGCGCAGGGCGTATATTCTGATCTTAGCGTCCGTGTCAGGCAAGAGAGTAATTCCGCCGCAGATGTCAACCCGGCGACTGGGCAGCCGCTCGATGTTGGGCAACATGACCTGGAAGCAAGTGGTGCGGCGAAGAAGCAGGACGGGTTCTTCCATAAAGGATTGTTGCAAGCGTTCGAGAGCGACCACCTTGCAGGTGGACAAGCGACGGAGGTGAAAGTCGTGGCGAATGGACACAGTCACAGTACGTTTCCTTGCATACCATCAATCAAACGACCACCATTCATAAAGATGCACCACACAGTAACAGACAACTGTAGGCGCGTGAAGGGCGTTTGGATGTGCTTCGGTGGTGGGGGGTACGTTGAGCATTCGGGCAATCGCACCTCGCCTTTACTATGTAGACAAGCTGACGCTTGATATCGCAGGTCCTACTCTGGCTACGGCAAGATCGGATTCGACCGTCGATTCCGAATCTACGACATATCGGAGTATGGCGAGACCATCCGGACTTACAAGCGAACGGAGAGTGACGATATCGTGGATGACATGATACTCGTTGGAAGAGGTGCTCCACCACCGTACGAGGGCGTCGCGTGAGATGCCGCGCGTTCCGGCATGGTGGGTGTGTATTATAGGATGCGTGGAACGGACCGTCTAGTCGTCTAATAGAGCCATGTCTGGCGAGCATGGTGTGTATGATTGACGTGGTGCCTTCACTTGCTTTGTTAGGATTAAGGTTAGGTTTCCAGTACGCTCGCAGTGAGTTATGTCCAACTTTAACTGAAACTCTCGATTCTCCGGCGGCTGACCCTCGATCTAGTTCTCTTCTGACAACCTGACCTAGTCATGCCTCTGGGTACAGTCGTATCTGCGAATGGTGCCTGGACCTTGTCGTTCCATCCGTGTACCCAGTGAAAATACGAACCTCTATCCAGAAGATTATGGTTGGTGCGTTGACAAGCAATGCCTCCGCAATAGGTCCCGGCCGCCCAGAACGTTTTTCCGTTATCAACCTGCCGGACCGATTGTAACGAGGTTTCTCGCTCGTTCATCGTGACCACGAGATCATGTGTATATACGCGAAAGGCTGTTGGATCTGCACACTGCAAGGGACGTCGCGAAGCGCGATGCGATCCAGGTAAGTATGGCTAATATTTTCACCGGCTGGCTGGGCCGCTGTCTTATTGCACTGTCATGTCTAGTGTACCACGTCTAGCAAATGGAGCTCCTCTGCACCATACAAAACCAATACATGGAGTAACAGTGTCTCTCAGGCAGGATCGCGTTCAATCAGTCAAATAACAAACTCACGATCACACCTGTTGCTCATATACTGGTATGGCATCATTTCCGTCGGATAATGGCATATCTCACTAATGGCAACATCGGCAGGTCCTACTAGAATGCAATCACCGTCAGTAACAACTACCCGGGCTTCAGGCCCGGACAATAAGCTACGCGAAAATGATCGTACTTACGAGGCTTGGCCGAGTCGCAATTTAGACGCAATCTATACCAAGCCGAACCGGGCGCCCCTGGCACCCTTCGATGAGTTAACGCCCCAGCGAGCGATGTAATGTTCTTTCTGATCTCCAATGCGTCCATATCAACCACATTCCTCATTGTGTCCCGTGGTGATGTGAGCTCTTCTGTGACTCGGATCACATTGCATATTACTCACAACATGGTCGCAGACCGCCCGACTGGTACGTATATATGTACGCGCGCACTGTTTGATTCTCTGGTATCTTCCGGCTTATCCGACCCGAGTGGACACGGGACGGATTGCAAACGTTGCTTCGTACCATATTGCTGTCTAGGAGACCTGGCAGGCTGATAGGAGTATCTTGTGGTTGGAGTAATATCCGAGGGCCCTATTCTCCGAAACCGACATGAACAGCTCATACCGAAGGAAGTACGGGTACTGTCGCCTACGGCCAAGGACAGAGTCAGTCAACTGGCCTACAACTTCACGTGGTGAGGTGCGTGAAATGTATAGCTCTGGGCCACTCAATTACAGCGCGCATCCTTCCTTCCAGGACTTGTCTCTCCCTATGGTATGTCGTGATCAATGTCCGCAGGCTTGCAATCTCCGGTCCCTAAGCTTCTGGTGGGGGATAGAACGAATGCTTCGCTCAATTCCCGTGAACAAGCCGCCAACACACGGCATAACCTAGTGAACTCCGACACATTGTGGGTGCAAGTCTGATGAGGCATGTCAGAGTTCCTCTGATCGCGGGCTACAGTCAGCCCTTCGCAACCCTTCGACTATGTGAGTGCACGTGCACATGCAACGTGCTCCCTGACAGCTACATGGGGTTACAGAGAATGCTGTCCTAACCGCTATATATGTGCGAGGTGAATACCCATGCGATGGAATCATTCAGACGACTTGCTCATATCCTGACTGTATTTGTGGTGCAGATCCAGGCTCTATATCAACTACCCGCTCTATCATTCATTCCCACAACGCACACTGTCGACTGTTCACATGTCGAAGCTCGGGCGGGGATGTCCCGCCCGCGGCCCGCCCAGGGGACGCTTCTCTCACAGATACTAAAGGCAACGATAGCAGGACTCACCTCCAACTACCCATTCTGCCCTTGTAGATGTCGTCTTGGATATCCTCCCCACTCTGGCCATGGGTGACTGCGGCTATTGTCTTCTTGGTACTGCATGAGAGACGACTACGGTGGAGATGGCGCTTCCAGCTTCCACCCGGTCCAAGACCTCTTCCAATTCTTGGGAACGCACTTGATATGCCGAAAGAAAATCTTGGCTACGCACTGTCAGAGATGGCACGGAAATATGGTGTGTTTTGTCGCGAACGGTGTCATGATGTGCTTTCGGGTTGATCGGTATCGACGTGCAGGGAAGATGGTATATTTGGACGTTCTCGGTCAGCCAATGATCATCGTAGCCTCGTACAAGATTGCGAATGAGCTGTTGGACAAGCGGTCTGCCAACTACTCCAACCGCCCCACTTCGGTCATGGTCCAACTGTGCGTTGATATGAATTTGGGTTGTAACTCGTTGTCGCTATAAAGCCTGCTATACAGCGCAGGACTGTCATGGGTCTCCGTTCTGAAGCAGTATGGCCAAGAATGGAGGCAACATCGACGCGTCTTCCATCAGTGGTTCAACTCTGAGGTTGTTGTGAAACTCCAACCGATTCAGCTCAAGATCACACGAGATCTAGTCAGACGTCTTCTCGACTCACCCCAGGACCTTCTGGAACAGCTTAAATTGTGCGTCTTCCTTTAACGAGTCTTGTACAACCGCTAATTCGCGTCGTGCACTGTCATAGCTCATTTGCAGCGACGACGCTTCGGCTTGCATATGGTATCGTCGTAACTGAGCCTGACGACGAGTACTATCAAATGATCGAGAGGATTTCGGTAATAGGGGAGAATCTCACAGTTCCTGGAAGATATGCGGTGGACGCGATTCCTTTTCTACGCTTCTTGCCAAAGTGGTTTCCAGGAGCGGGATTCAGGCGGTACGCTGCAGAATCACAACAGGAGATTTCCTCCATCATCGACAAGTTATACAATACTGCCAGAACCATGGCGGTGAGTGCCACTACGCTGGGATCACTCGTACGGATTCCTGCTAACACTGTTCGCATGTCCGGCGATGTATAGGAAGTAGGCACCGAAGGGGACTCGGTCGTCTCCCAGCTGCTTTACAAGGCCAAGTCTTCGAGCAGCTCGCAAGAAGCCGCTGACCTAGAAGTCCTCTGTAAAGCCGTTACTGCAACTATATACACTGGTAGGTGCATCAGTGATTATATGCGTTCAAAATGAAGCTAACCATACTCCCACGTGACTAGCGGGCTCTGATACTGTACGTGTGTTCAGCTCCGTGATAGCGATCGCCCGGCGTTGATGCTTACCCGTACAGACAAACTCCGCAATGCAAGCGTTCTTCCTCGCAATGGCCCTGCATCCGGACATCCAGAAGAAAGCTCAGGCAGAGATTGATGCCGTCGTCGGTGTCGACCGCCTTCCCGAATTTTCTGACCGTAAAGCACTGCCGTACGTGAATGCCATAGTGAAGGAGTTGTTGCGATGGCACATCGTGGCCCCAATTGGCGTCCCACACCAAACGATATCCGACGATGATTATGCTGGATATTTTATTCCCGCCGGGACGATTATCACGACCAACCTATGGTGAGCTCTCGGCGGACTGTGCGGAATAGGGAATACCGCTGACATCGCCGCTGCAAGGGCGATGTCCCGAGATCCAGACGTGTACCCCGATCCTGAAACATTCAAGCCCGAACGCTTCCTTGACGAACATGGGCAGCTTGATCTGAAGGCAGGGGATCCCTCTGAGTTTGCATTTGGCTTCGGTCGGAGGTGCGCCTCCGTACACTGCATCAGGCTTCACTCCATCTGACGTCGTCCGCCGGACACCCATAGGATCTGCCCGGGGAGGCATTTCGCGGAAGCATCCATGTTCATCCTCTGCGCTTCAATGTTGTATGCGTTCAATATCAAGCCACCCATAGACGAATCAGGGCAGCCGTTGAAGCTGACGTACCAGACTTCAGGAGAAGGCGTCGTCTCGTGAGTGTTCAGGTCATGTTTGGGTGAGTAGCGGTTCCTGATGCTAGAATTCAGACACGTAGTATTTCACGAATATATCATGCAATCTCGGTCACCGCAGGTGGAACGTCTCATAACCGAAGACACATCCTGATTTACCGCACTAGATCGAACCGCCGGGCTGTTGTGGAATAGCCTCACATCTCGCTTCAGTCAGGACTACGCGCGTCGCGAGACATCGAGACTCGACATGTACCTTGAGGCGTACTCCCGGAGGCTCAGGGACACTCTCGTATGTCGTGAGCCCTTTTCAGTATCTACGCCTTGTGTTCTTGAAGTTGCATCTGTAGCGAGAGGTATATTACATAGGCTAGCAGCCCTCGCAATAACATCTTGTCAATTTGTCCTACTGTGCGCGGCGTCACTCTGTCTGAACCGTTCAACGTAGACAGGGGCCGCTGTCCAGTAATCACGCGATCCGAACTTACGAGCACGCGGTGAGCGACTACGGTAGGAGATAGCGAGTGTGCCTTCGGCGTCGCCGGTCTCGTCACTGTGCCCTATTCCGCTTCCAAGGACCATCCACACGCCTCGTCTCGAGAGGGTCTCTCTTAGTCACTCGAGGATCCCGCGAACACCCGGTTCCTCACACCGGCAGTCAGTACTAGTCGGTATCGACTCTGGGCGGCCCAAGTGTCACACGACCCGAGCTATGCGGCACCACACTGTGTATCGATGCGAGAATGTCAACCCTACGAAGTCCGATGCTAGAAACTAATGCCAAAGTCCATGTAGTCCGATGCTGACCACGTAAGAGGCCATACGGGCCTCGTCATCTCTGTAGATTCGTCCCGCAACAACCGACACAAAGTTCGGTCACGCCGCCAACTCCGAGTCGTCAACATACATCATGTGTCATATAGGTCGTAAGCAACTCATAGTAGAGCACCAAGCTAGTGAATGGAAGGTCTCGGCTCCTCCCAGCCGTGATGCAGGAGACCATTCTCCTACCCTCACGAGCGTGAGACGCAAACTCCTAGAATTCCTGGAGGAAGTCCAGAAGTTGGAAGCCGTCGGGGATAGGACCTTCTGGGCTGGCGGCACACGAGCCAGGAGGGCTCAATGGCGCATCTTGGCCAAATGGAATCGTGCCCGGCGAACCAACCGTAAGCCCGCCGACAAAGTTCGTCTCGTCGACGCTTTGGAACTGGCATTGGAAAAGTCCGGCGAGTTCCGCGTTCTTGGGTGCCTTCTGGCAGTATGAAACCGCCTGCGAAGTAGGCTAGATCCAGCATGGTTCAGCATTGGCCCGTTTGGTAGAAGGTCATGAACTTGAACGTACAGTGTTCCGCGGCTGTTGCGCGAAGATCCGAGCGAGCCTGATCATCTCTGCGTCGTTGCTCAAAGTGTTTGCCAGGTCGACCATCGCATCAGCAGAGTCTTGTTGTGCGCATGGGTTTGCCGCAGCCAGGAGCGTACGGGCCGCAGCACTCGCGATTGCATTGCACTCGTCTCCGCCACCAGCCTTCACGCATGCAGCCTCCCACGGGGCGACCACTGCTGCCGTGTCTTGTCCAACGCGCTTCATGACGCGCGAGCGTATGGCGCGACGCGCAAACCCAGAGATTGATGTGGAAGCGGCGGGTGAAGCTGACAGTATGTCACCGCAATGTTCACCTCCGTTGGCTTCGTTCTGAGCGTGTACGTTCAAGTCAGTGCCAGTTCCTCGCGCATGACTAGTTACGGATCCTCGCACGTACACTGCACGTCTGCGTCGACCGCTGGGTGGATTTTGCTTGCGCCGAGACGTGCTTCCCGGAAGGTGCTGCATTAGCAGTCAAAGCAACGAGGGCAAGGACAAGCAATGTGGGGAGCTTGGCCATCCTGAGCATGGATATAAAAAAGTTGTGGCCTGCTGGAGACGAAAGTTGACAAGAAACGAGTCCGAGCACAGCTCGTTGCGAAAGCGAAAGCGGAACCCGAAGTCAGAGGGATTGAAGACGAAAAGAAAATCGGGGCCATCCTTGCAACGGGCGTGTCGTACTATAAGTACTGAGGGAGGGCTTCAACAGCCGAACGCGTCAATCTACTCACCTGTGCTTGAAAGTTGATGATCGTTAGTGGCCTCCTCGCCATCTGAGCACAGGAGAGAACGTATGATGTGGATGTGAGATGATGGTGTACGGTCAGAATACGAATAGATCTAGACCTACTAGCGTTCACTATCATATATTCATAGCGATCGCTGTGTGCATTGTATAGATTTCGACGTACCGTGGCGAGTAACAACTCTGGTTCTCCGACATATTGTCGAGATTGATTGGGACTCAGAGCTGCGAGCTGCCAATCGAGTCGACGTGCAACTGACCTGAATGACACTTGTGAGTTAGTAGGCCAAGCCGCCAAGTATCTATAGGTCAGTATATTAAGAATATTCGGATATTTGACTCGCACCTGCTTCGTTTGCCATCAAGTACTGAAAGCGAGGCTGTTTGAGAGCTAAATCATTGATTTACCCTCGAGGAAGTTGCCGTTGAAGCTTTGAAGCCTTGGTAGGAGGAGAAAAAGGAAAGGGCCCAACCGGGAATTGAACCCGGGACCTCGCGCAATCTTTCCCGCATGCAGGAGGGACAAAATCCCGAAGCGCGAATCATACTACTAGACCATTGGGCCGTATCAAGGAGCACAGTGAAGTACACTCGACGCGGGCACTCGGTCGCACAATGGGGTCGGATGCTTGATTGCGTGTCTCAATCTAGCGCACTTGTTCCATCTCTACTGATTCTGAGAGCAGGTCATCATCTGGGTAGTAAGTCGTGGTGATCATGGTATGCGCTCTCTGTACAGCACGAGGAGGACTGTGACTGACACCACGTTCGCAATCAGTACGGTGATATTGAAGACCTCGTCCTTTCAGGGAGACTCTTCAGCCCTACATCCCGTTCGAGCTCGCCCATACGGTCCAGATCTCCGTCTCCTAGACCAGCTCCATGGCCCACTGAAGGTGACGACTTCGAGTACGACTCAGATGCAGAAAGACGGGCATCTATCGAGGCACACATCGCGTCGCAACAGCAACAGGAGTCCATCGGCATGGGCCCCGGACGCACCGGTGTGAAAGGCGTCATCCGTGACCGCGACGAGGCGGAGTCGATCGCACGCGGGAAACGCGCGGACGAAATTCGAGAACTCAACCGTGCCATGGAAAAGGCGAGCCTGGGTGGGAAAACCTGGGCGGAGGAGGAGAAGGAGCGGTTAGCTGAACTCGTCGCACTCGAACGCCGTTCTGGGGCCCGCTCGTCGAGAGCTGCCAAGGGTGGTCGTTTTGGACATCTGCGTGAGGTGGGGGTGCGGAGCTTCGTCGAGGCCGTGGAAGAGGACAGGAGCGTCTGGGTCGTCGTGCATATATTCGACTCGGTACGTCATCGCGCCCATCCTTGGTCTTTCCCTCTTCGCAGCTTTCCTCAAGCTGCAACATCCCCGATACCGTTCTGACCTCGCCGATTATCGCGTTTGTCTGCAGTCTCTGGATCGCTGTGCAGCGGTCGACGAGACGCTCTCGCGACTGGCTCGGTCCTACCAATACACGAAGTTCTTACGCGCCCGCGCAGGAGCCATCGGGTTCGCCTCGTCAGGATCGGCGAAGCCCAATCTCACACAGAAGTCGTCCCTCTCCGTCTCACGCTTTCCACCACGTGGACTGGTTGTGTCCAGCCGGTCTCGCATAGAGGAGAAAGACGAATTCTTCGATGACGATGTCGAGGACGAGGAAGGAAGAGCTGTCGATGATGATGACGAGGATATCGATGAACAGTGGGAGGATGACGAGGTCGACACGGACGTGCTGCCCACTTTGCTTGTCTACCGTGGCGGCGAGCTTGTACACTCGTGGGTACGCGTAGATTGGGAAGCGAAACAGGGCATCGAGGATCTGTTGAGGAGGTTTGTACGAAGGCTACTCATTATCTCCGCCGTGCTGTCTGACGCACATCCCTCCTAGACACAACATTCTCACTGCCCCGCGACATTTTGGAGGGAGCACGGCCAGCCACGTTACGCTGGATGAAGACGATGAGTACTCAGACGATGGGGAAGAGCTCGTGTTCGGCAACAGTGATGACGAGCGTTGAACGTTGACGACCATTTGTCTGGTCCGTTATCGGCCTCGCTTCACGCAACAATGACGCTTGTATTCTATCTGTAGCCGTACGCGTATATCACTGACCATTGGAATAGAATCGCTTTCTCGGTTGACCCAGTGAAGGAAGACTGTCAACTTTGTCGCCATCGCATATTCTCTCCGGTCGGACTACAACCTCTGAGTGACATCCGCCCCGATATTCCCCACTCCTTCAAGCCTCGAGGATTCGCATAGGGTTTTTTGCTGCATGCTGCTCTGACAACCGTCCGACAGTATCACATCTGATACAGCACCATCCGGGGTGATGTCGGCGCGACATTTGGAGGAATAGTCGTTCTCTGCTCATTGTTGACAGATGTGTCTATACTGGCGCGACTGATGTGGTTGACCGCTCACATCCCTCATTCATAGCCTGGAAGAGTCAACCCGCCTGGCGAAACACATATCTTGTCACCAATACATGCGTGTAGATCACTACGACTCACCCCTAGGGATTTCAAGGCGCCCGCCTTACAATCACTGCCTGTACGCCGTGCAAGGGCGACGTCAACCATGCGTAGCTTGACAGTCTGACCCAGGACACATGGACTGCTAGCAGCCGCCAATCTCCCTCGAAGCAGCCCTCGACAGTCGGAAGCAGCCACCTGGAGGCGAAGTCCAGTTCGCTTCAGGAAGAGGTCGCAAGGCTGCGCGAGGAGCGATAATATATAGTGACTTTGAAGCCCCACCACGCCGGTACGAAGACATTCATTGACGCTGTCCGGGAGATGACGCGTAACTCTCTATTCATAATACAACGTACACAAGGTAGCATACAATCATACAATCATACATACATGGATGCGGAAGCTTCATGACATACATACGACTGACCCATCCACGGGGCCTTCGACCGAGGCTAAGCTGGCGACGGCGTCGCGAGGTCGATCTCGGCCTGGAATATGTTCGCGGTGATGTGGTTGAGCGACACCAGCCGAAGGGTGCAGATATCAAATAAGGCGGACGGCCCGTTGGTGATCCTCCAAAGGCCTAGAGTGTAATCTGGGTTTTCCGTGTCGACCTGAAAGTCCCAGTGAACCGCAGACTGTAGATTAGCTCGGCGTTAGAGCATGTATAAATGACTAGGAGTGGAGAGATACGCACTTCCAAGAAGTCGGCATACGCTTGCGCCACACCGTAGGCGATAGAGCCATACGTGCCGTCGTGATCGATGAGCAACGTATGCGTGTATGCTTCGTATCCGGGCCACTGATGGGCAGGCAGGTGGTCAACACGGATTTAAGTATAACAGGAGGGGATCATAAGCAAGCAAATCACAGACTTACACTGATGTGCAGCCAAATGCACGAGAAGATGCCCGTATGGTATCTGCAGAGCAGTCCCCTGTTTTCCAGATAGATCGGGGATTTACGGTAGTATTCCATGATAGCGCAAAGGGGTGCGCCGTTTCCATCCGCGGAGAACGAGATGGAGAACGGGCGGAACCCTGTGAAGATCCAGGAGTTGCGTTTCTTCGCGAAAAGGAGCTTGATCGGGAACGTGCGCGGAACGCGAACGCACACCAACTGAATGCCTGTAAGCCAGTTGTGCTCATTGTTCCCGGAAGGATGTGTTTGGACAACGGCCATGATAACCGAGAAGAATACAAGGCGAATCGCGGAGAGGGCTGCTGGGTGTCGACGAGTTCTCGTGCTTGTACGTCTCATCGTAGAGAGGCCTGCGATTTTTATACATCTTCGTTCTAGCAAAGCTTTGGCTCTTGGATGAGTACCGCAACGCCAAAGCGATTGCGAGTACCTCGTCCTCGTGTAGACTCGTGGACAACCTGAGCAGGAGGTGGTCTTCGGGAGACGCCGACAGAGCGCGGAGGCACTGAACAAAGGTTGCCGTATCAGTCATTTCGGGCCCGACACTGAGGGTGAGGGCACCGCTCACTCTTTGTTCAGGGCCTGCTTTTCGCGAGGCCTGTTGCTTTGGCAAGGGAAATGGTGAAGGCGGGTCGTGAGGACAGGGTTCACCAGCACGTCGGGGAGGAAGTTCCTAGAGGAGAATCGCTTGCGTAAGAACACGTCCTAGGATGCTTGCCAAAGCAGATCCGGATGCACACGCAGCCGTAAAAGCGAACATCTGGATGGATTGGTCAGTCTTGATCAGGAAGGTGAGTCATCGGCACCGGACATGGCTTACCCAAAGGCAGCACGAAAACTGAAGCATGACGAGGCGTTGACTCCATCGCAGACGTGCTATTGGGCAATACAGGTAGCTGGTAGGGTGGACAAATACTTCCTAATGCCGAATGAGGACGCGCAGAGACTCTGGATGGTGTGACGAGCAGAGTGGCGGTCCAGTTGAAGTCATGATTCGAGGGCGGCACTGGTTTCTCCTGCGTCACGCTATCAGACTGCAAGGCGAATAGTTTTCAGCTCGATACACGCACCAGCTGCGCCTGCCCTTCAGCTGTGGCATCCTTCCACGGCACGATGCCCTGGATCCTCCGAACGCACAGCAACCCGTCTGTAGCCTCGGATGCGAGAACTCCCCCATCGTCCGTGATCCGCACCTGGAGGACGAGGCTCGCATCGTCTTCTGTTAGCATCGTACTAAGAGACGTCTCTCCACAGCCTCACGGTACGGTCCGCGGAACAAGTCGCAATCAAGTTCCCGCTCGGCGCAAACAGGAATGCATGGATGGAAGCGTCGTGTCCGTACAGCGTGACGTGGAATCTTGAAGACCGCTCTAGACGGTTGACCTTCGCTGTAGGGGACGTTGGCTCCGATGCGCCCATGCACTTCCGCTGGTCTTGCATGTCCAGACAACAAGCTATGGTCCGAGAGGCGAACCGAGCCTATAAGTCGGACAGGGCCTCTGAGGGGATGCCGGTGCATACGTTCCAGCTGCCGCAGTCGGATACAGCACTTAGATTCATTGGCCCAGTGTCGCTGCGGGTGTCGAATGTCGCGGTGAGAATCTGCTCGAGCTCGGAGTCCGGTGGAGAGGGCAAAGTGCATGTTAACGTTGAGTGTAGCTTCGCGATACCGCCTGTCAAGTTTCAGATGAACATCGTTCCGCGAGCCAGTAGTAGTCGGCCGCTATGGCGAATGAGCTCTGCAAAGCGGCAAAGAGGCCGAGGTAGCCTGGGAGCGTACTATCGGTCTCTTAGGACCTCCTAACCGCCGTCGAGTAGGGACGTCCATGACGTGCATCCTCCCACAATCGGACAGCCTGTTCATCTTCATCATATGATAGTCCAACAGGACTGGATGTCTGCCAACCCCCGGTTCAAGTGAGCCCTGTATGATCAGATACTGGCTGTACGGAGACGACGCGGTATCGACGTTGGTTGTGGACCCTCCGCAAGTTGCTTCGAGGTCGGTGTCCCAGAAAACGAGGGCATTGTGAGCATAGTTCACAACCTACTTCCCAATAGGAGAGACCGAGATGACGGAGACAGAGACAAGTCAATATCAATAGCTCCACGGCTGGTATCTACAAATCGAAATGTCAGCCGGTGGCCGGCTAGAGAGCTAAGTG